CATGTACTATTGTCTTAGTTGGGGAAGTTTTCAAGGGTTCCTCAGCTGATCTCTGTGTTCCCTTCCTAAGCATAATTCCCTTTTTTGCCAGTTAATTCCTTAAGGATTCCACACAGTGGATGAACCATAGAACCATAAAATGGTGGGACTGTAAAGTTCCTACAGTTCCAATTTCTCGTCCATGGGGAGGGGCACCTTCCACTGGACCAGGCTGCTCAGAGCTCCCTTCCACCTGGCCATGAAACACTTCAGGGATGGGGCATGTGATGGGCATATAGACATTTATTCAAGTCCCCCACATGAATATGGGCAAATTGGACACCAAAATTATAAGTTGTTAAAACGGAATATTTGAACTGGGCATTATTGTGGTTTTGTGCCATCATTTCTATACATTTGTCAAATCTATTCTATGATAAGATTATTTTTTACCTCTGCTAACATCATTTAATGACATTTCACACAGGCTCACCACACTGTGTGGCACAAACTGCTGGAAAGATCAAAAAGGCTGGTAAGTCTCACTAGAGGTGAAGTACAGGTTACCAAATACAAATGTATGCTCTGATAGAGGACACTTTGAATGATTAGAGGTAGGCAGTATACTCAAGAACATATCTTTAAGAATGGAAATATTCACAGGTGAATGGAAATCAGAAATCTAACTGCTTGTTTATTAGAGGATATGCTAGCACTCTTTCTGAGATCTGTTATTAAAAAGCATTGCTCCATTTAAAAAACATACACTATTTGATATGATTTATGCAGTTAAAAAATACTTCAAGGTAAATGGAGCTATAAGATATTATAACCCACATATAACCAAATAACCACTATCAAGACATATTTAAACATAGGAAGTCTTTGTAAGAATTAAAGAGCAGCTGTTGTAGAGCCTTTCAATCAATAATTTTACTTACTTGTTTGGCAAGAGACAGAAAATAAAGTACTTCATGTCTTCTGAAACTTGTTAGCTATGGATATGTTCTGAGCCTGCCCCATGGCATCTTCCCTGAACTTAATTTGAATATTCTTGTTCTTCAGATTGTTTAATTTTGGAGAAGATAATAGTCTTTGTAGATTGTCCTTTCTTGTTACAGTGACAGTGTGAGGGGAGGATTTTCAGGATCAAGAGAGTGAAATAATTTTTAAAAATATAACAAAATTTATATCTTTCTGCAGGTCACTGAAGAAGATTATTTGGAAACAGCAACACAATGTCTTGAGGCAAAAGATGGAACTGAAGAAGCAAAACCTGTATCAATTTAAATTAAGTTGAACCCCTAAATGTACATAATAAAATGTGTATTTTTACATGACTTGTTGCTGCCTTGTACAAAAATGTCTTGGATAATTAATTTGAATTCTGTGACGTAAATCATAGATAAGTACAAGCACAGGTATACTCAAAATATTTCAGTCCACTTTAAAGGTTTCCCTAAAGAAAAAAAGGGTGGGTGGAGGGAAGTTAATTTTTTATCTGCAGTAACTTGCAAGTTGCCTTACCTTGACAACAGTAATTGCATGTATCCATCCATATGTTGTTGCCTGCTGCAACCAAAAGTTGAGACAAATAGTATCTTAAAAAGATACCCTTAAAAGTATCTAAAAGTATAATTGCCATTGCTTTACCAATACAAAAATAGTAGAATGTAAAAGCCAGAAAGTTCTTGGAGTTTAATGATTTCTTTCTGCTGCACAAGTGCTGTTAAAGATAATTTTCCAGAATAATACCAAGAATTTAGTTCATTACTTGGATCCCTAGTGTACTAAGATTTATTATGTATTTTCTTTGTTTGAGATTTGAATATGGTGACCTCAATTAAATTTTGCAATGGGGTTTTGTTAGATAATGTTTTCTGATGTTTTGTATTTTCATCCCTAACTCATTAGAACTGTTCTCATTATACCAGAGGCAATTTTTATTACTTTTTGAAGTGCAAATATTTTCTCTGAATTTTATCCCAGTTATTATTTTTACCATTTACTGCATTGCATTAACTGTTCCTAATCAGTTGACACCACAGTTTGTGAGAGCAGGGTAGTAGTTCAGTCAAATACATTTAGGTATAACCCATGTCTTCTCAGGATACTTGGAAAACAGATGGGGTTTTTTCCTCTTGATTAATGTTGCAGAGGATAGTCTATAATGGTATCAGATGCTTATTTTTTAAATAATATTGTGATTCAAAGTTTACCTTCAATGCACACATATGCATTTACACATTCTGTATATTTCCATTAAATTGAACTTGCTGGAGTGTACTTGGGCTTTGAACCTGTTGTTCTGGTGCTGTTGAAGAAGCAGGCATTGTTTGCGGTCTTAAGAAATACAAAAATTTGCTGTTTGTGTTGTTTTCTTTTAGTTTTGTTGTGGTTTCCTTTTAGTTTTGCTTGGTTGGTTGGTTGGTTTTTGTTTGTTGTTGAATGTAGTACTTGCCATCTTTGACTGGTGAAATATTGCCATGTGAATTTTGGGATCTAGTCCAGGTGGTCTGTTTTGAATCTTAAGTTTGTTCTATTACAACCCAGAAAGGCCCCTGATGTCTGCTTGCTATTTTGGGTATCCAGAATTCCTCCTGGATTCCACCAGCTGCAGCGGAACGTGAGATGGCTGCTATCCCTTAGGAATATACCTTTTTTAACCCTGTCTGGAATTTCACAGTTTTTCTGGTATGTTCTTTTGGGGGGGGCTGGGGAGAGGGGTTTTTTTTTGGTTTTTTTTTTTTTTTTTTTTTTTTTTGTTTGTTTGTTTGTTATATTTGGGGTTTGAGTTTTATTCGTTGGAGCAGCAGGAAAGTCACCCCATTACAATACTGAAAATGTTGACATCTGTAGCAGACCCTTCCCTGGAGACTGTGCATAAAATGGTGAAAGCTCAAACTTCTATAGAGCTCTGTGCTATCTCACACCTTGACTTCCATGAGGTCCAGAAGACGGGTCTTCCTTAGGGAGAGATGTAGCTGGAGGATGCCTTTGAAAAGCACCAGGATCCTCACAGAGCATAGCAACAGTTAAGAGAACTGGGCAATAGTGTTCATTTCCTTCTCACCATAGTGCATTTTGAAATAGGAATGTAGATTGAAGTCTGTTTTGCCAATATGGGATTCAGATGTGCAGAGAAGAAGATCTGTGGTTTTTGGGGGGATGCCTCATATGATATTTTGAGTACTCCCTGCTTGATCTGTATTAAGTGATGGCACTGCTAGAAAAGTTGTGAACATTTCCTGAACAAGTGTGAGAACAGATGGAAGCAGTGCTCAGTTCCCCCGGCAGCCAGAGAGCAGCAGGGAGATACGACCCTGAGCTCAAGGCCATCTATTTTACCATTGACTACTGGTGCATAAAATGCTGAAATTGTCTGCTGAGAAGGCTGTTGCAGCAGCTGAGCTAGAGTGATGCTTCCTTTCTCTTTTTGACTTAGTTTTTCTGAACTTCAGCTGAGCTGCAGGGTGGTTCCAGCCTGGCTGGCTGCTTGGGGCTGTGCTCAGACACATACCTGCAACTATCACTGTATACCAAACTTAAAGATGTGGGGTTATATAAAATACCAAAATGGGTATGGTGAAGCTCTGACTGAGTGTGGATTCTGGATGTTTGTGCACTCTCCTGCCCTCCCTGGGGCCTGGCCCAATCTTCTCCTTTGGAAGTAGTCAGAAGACATCATCATTGATCAGTTCAAAAAGAGACAAGAAAGTAGATGTTATTTTCTATACTGAACACTATAGGAAACTGCAGAGATTAGAGATGGATAGGTGGGCAAAAGAGGCTGCAAAATTTAGCCAAGTCCCCTTCTTGGCTATTTTTATTAAATTTCTGTGTGTAAAGAGGCAATTTTCCCTCAGCAAAAGAACTGCAGAACCAGCTAAAAGTAAGGAAGTATCTAGGAGGACACAATGCTGCAAAGTGGAGAAAGGGGAGGGCAGGGTCACTTAGGCCAACATACATGAGCAGAAGCTGATACTGGCCAGATTCTGGTAAGGAATAAATAAGATTTTTTTTATGGTGAAAGTGGAGTGACACTGGAATGTGTCATTCAAAGAACTTATGAGCACCTCAGCCTTGGAAATGTTCAAGCTCAGATTGGATGGAGCTTGGTGCATCCTGATCTAGTGGAAAATGTCCCTGCCTGTGGCAGGGGTGCTGGAACAGGATGATCTTTAAGGTCTCTTTAAACCCAACTCATTCCAGGATTCTATAGTGATAGGGGAAAAGGCCTGAAGCCTTCTTCCTTGTTGCACATCTCAGCAGTAGTTTCATGGCTTCTCACATTCAAGTTGTTCCTCCTTCTGCATCTTGTTTGAAAGTTGAAACTTTTAATTTTCCCTTTTCTTTACTGGTTTTATCCAAAAAGAGAAAACCCTACATTAAGGTTAAAGCTACATGGTGTCTTAATCCTAAGAGGTGGCAGTAGGAAGGCTGAGCAGTATCAGCTGACACATATAACGAACTGAGAAATTTTTTCCAAAGAAATATTCTGTATTTCATGTTATCATGGATTTTGGAGATAGAAAAGGCAATTGGGATATAGTATGACTTATTTCATAACAGAAGGAATTAAATGCTGAGAAAGAGTAATTTTTTTTCTTACCAGGCAGTAAAGGTCTTTCCTGAGAACACATGCAAGTGATGAAAGCAATCATCGGTAGACATGAAGTCCTTTCATGGCAGCAGCCAGAGCAAGTTTCCCTTTCAATTTTAACTTCTGTCAAGGAGTAACCTTCTACTGCTTTTTGGTAACTTATCTAGCACTATTCCACTCAGCACAGTACTTTGTTATGTTTGAAGCCAGTGAACTTGCTACATTTATTTTATTAGTTTTTACAGACAGAGGAGCTTGGCAGCATAAAGGTGTTTGATGGGAAGAGTTGACAGTGGGTATTTCTTGAAGAACACCAACCATCTGAAAATGGTAATGCTATCATGCTGTGGTTTTTCACAAGACTTAACCCCAGTCATGGACAGCATTAACATTTTTTCAGAGTGAAAAAAACCCTATTATTTTAGTATCTGCTAATATAATATCCATAACCTAACTATGTCCACTTTTCTGGGGAACCAGCTATGCAGAAAGAATACACATAATTGGTCTAACATTTGACCATATTTATAATAGGTATCTATTTCTTAAGTTTGCAAGTTACTCACATTTTAAAGAGATAAAATGTGAGGGTACAAATACTTGATTTTTATGGCATGGCTATGAATCAGGATGGTGAGGGGAAAGTTCTGGTTTCTTCCTTAAGGCACCTTCTATTGACATGTGTCTATACAGGATAGACACTCTGGGATCATCTTTGCTTCATCAGTGCTGCTGAATGTGGCCTCAAGTGGACAGGGAAATCAAACTGAGCTTCAGTGTCACCCAAGAAATGAGATTGTCTCTGGACTCTCCTCTCTTTTGCCACAATTTTCTTCCTGGCTTTAAAGCCATTTTCTCTGGAAGTTTAATAGGAATATGCTTTCCTTTACCAAAATATGCTGCACCACTTTGGGAATTCCCTCTCAGAGCTACAGCTATGACTTTGGAAGGGATAAAAATGGCTTTTCCTTTTCGGTGGTTATGGCTTCTCAATGTATGCATCCTGGGGGAGCCACTTAACCTAGAGCCTGATTTGGAAAACATTCATGACCTGCAGCAGTTCTGTCTGAGTGTAAAAATCACTTTCAGTGAGACTCTGTGTATGGGACACCTATTTATGAGACCATTGATTTGTGAGTTTCTGTGGTCTTGAGTGCTCTGTGATCATTCCTTGTACTGGGGGATTCACAGGCAGAACATTGCTAACAGAAACGTTTTCATATTGATACATCACAAACATTAACCATATTTCTTAATTTATGGTGTTTTGAGTTTTTTAGTTTTCCCTTTGTTCTCCCATCAAATTAAAGTTTCATAGCTAAACTATTCCCCAAGCAGATTTAAGTAGAGATAAGAGAGAGTTTTAAGAACTGACTGTCACTCAGGTTTTGTGACTGTGAATATTCAGGAACTATTTTGACCTTCCAAATTAAATATAACAATACTTTTCAGTTTCTCTACGATTTTCTAAGACTTCTTGAAATTTGTAATGCTTAGGTAATCCTAAAGTAAACTAAAGATACTTTCATTTTCTCCTAATGACCCATTGACCCATTTCTCCTAAAGAACTGACAATGTAATATCAAAGACATATTTTCTGTCAGTTTTGCTCTTACGTATAATTAAATTCTATAGAAATTAATAGAAGTTGCACATGTCAAGAGTTTAATTAGTATTTTTTCTTTCCTAAATAAAAATGAAGAAATGAAATATTTGTGTAGGAAGTAAAACCAAAAG